AAGTGAGGGAGGCTGGAAGAATCCCATGGTGCACAAGAGCAGATGGGAAGGCAGGCTACAGTTGCTCTTCAGCAGCCAGTGGGTGACACTGTGGGCCACGAGCAGAGACATCACCTGGAGGAGAACAGGGGAATGGGAGCAGGTGACCAAGAATGAAACATCTGGAAGGCAAGAGCAGGGAGATGTACTGATGTTACATCTGCAGTGATGCTTGGAAAGACCAAGGGCTGATGAGAAGTGAGGATACCCTGGATGATGTACCAAGCTAGAGTGGAGGTATCTTTTTTTTTCTATTAGTTTTCTAACATGTTTTCAGTGGAGCTGGAGGAGACATTAATCAAAATGACTCCTCTGTTTGTGGAAGCCAGCAGCAGCTGCAAATGCAGCTTTATTGCAAAACAATGTTAGGCATCACGCATTTGGACTTCCGTGCTACTGTCCTCTCATGGCTTCATCTTCTGACCGGTAGTTGATGCATTTCCTTTTAGACCCTGACTTTTAGTGAGTACCAGACTTTGGTTTTCTGCCACAGCAATTTTTATCCTTTCTCCTTCCATCCGCAGCCTGATCTGGCCAGACTGCATTGTCGTCATAATCCTGAGCTCACTGCGGCACGCTGCCCCCAGCCGCTAAAATGTGATGCTGAAAATCACTGGATTAGGTCTTAATGGCAGGATCAAACCACAAGGAGATGAGTGGGGAGAAAGCTTAAGCAAGTGGGCAGGCAGATCTTGGGAAAGTGTATAACGTCAGAAAAATGGCTTCTTTCCTAGGCTGTCTTCTGCCCTCTTCATTAAGGACATGGCTTTCAGTCGCCAAGGTTCAGAAAAAAACTGGCCCAGGATTTTGGAAGTGGGTATCGAGAGGTCAGAGGTGCTTAAATATTTCCTCCCTCATTGCTTAAAAATGTACACTTAGAGTTATGGACTTTTTGGCCGAGGTGTTAGTCTCAAACATGAAACTCAGCCAATGCATTAGAAATATGGCCCTTGCTGTGGCATATTGTGGTGTGCTGAAGGATGCTGGAGCTTTGCGGTCGGAATCCTGCAGGTGGGACTCCTGAAGCTCCAAAGAGCCTGTGATTTGTGTTGAACGCTTTTCAGATCAGCATTGCCTTTGAGCAACCACCGAGGTGCTCCAGAGCAGGATCTTTGGGTGGTGCCTGGGTAGGTGGCACATGCTCCTCGTGCAGAGCCCTGGCTGGTCCCAGTGCTTTGCCTACATGGACCTGCAAGAGCTCTTCCCTTAAAGGCTCCAAGGCTTTGGATTGAACAAACCTACCAAGAAGGAGTGGTTTTCTGAAGGCCATGCAATGGGTGACGAGGCTGACGGAGACTTTCTTTGAGTTTTACTTGGCAGTGCCCGTGAACTTTCCATCCAAGCCCTTCTTGGAGGGGGAACGTTGTGCCTCTGGGATGTTTTTGCATCAAGTTGTTTTCTCTGATTGTTTTCGGACAGCTTGAAGAAAACATTGCTGTCCCCCAAAATAAATACCTAGTCAGTGCCATGAAACTTGATCTCTGTAACACTGAGGAGAATATTCCATGACGGAATCTGGAGAAGAAACTCTACCTTATGCATCTGACTTCTGGCAGTGCATGGTCCCAGAGGTACCAGGGTGACTTCAGTTCAGATAACCTAAGCATATTTTCTGCCTGCTCTAGCTTTCTTGTCTGGCTTGGAAGGCAGGTTTGAGAATAGGCTTGAAAAATTGTGTCTGCTGAGGGCAAGAGTGCTCTTGCTCAACTGCGACTTCCACAGATGTCTGGGAAATAACTGAGAACCAGAATACTGCTGCAAAGAAGGAGCACCGGAAGGAAAACACCCACAAAACCCTAAAGATGAGAAGGAGAGGAGTGCTTGGGACTGTGTGCCCTAACGGGAGCAGGGACCCCTCAGCCTCAAAGGGTGGGATGTCAGGTCTGCAGGCAGCAGTGATGCTAGCGATGGATCTCTCTGGTAGCAGATGCCCTGGTTCTTGCTTGCAGAGGGGCTGCAGGCAGCTCTGGCTGGAGCCATGCCCAGTAAGTGCCAGCAGATGCATAGGAGAAAGAAGAGGAGGGCTGGTACAGCACGGGCGGGAGGTGAGGGTGTTTCTGCTGGGAAGCAGCTGAGACAAAGAAACAAAGTGTTTTGGGGGAAAACGGAGCCATTTGGAGCTTTTTATTTTATTTTATTATTTTATTTTATTTTATTTTATTTTTTTATCTTGGTGTGTGAAATGGCATTTTGGTGAAAAGCAAAGTGCTCTGAGCCACTGCCTGGCTGTGGTGGCATTTGGGTGCCCTTCAGGAAGACATTTCAGGGCAAACATACCATGAGCTGGGTGACTGTGGTGGCAGGAGCCAGCCATGCTCCCCCATGGGGACATCAGCTCGGTGGAACCCACTGCTAAAATGGAGGTTTGGAAACCAGGTTAGAGAATGAAGGCCAGCTCAGCGCTCAGCCTCCCTCCCCATGCTTACATTCCATCTCCTGTGAGGGAGCCAGGACGTGAAAATGATCACAGTCTTAAAAGGACTAAATTAAATTAAATTAATACACGGTGTTAATAATCAGATTTCATTCAATCTTAAGTGCATCTCGATGTTTGCAATGTGAATTGGCTGGCACAAAGGCGAGAGCACCAACTTAGGCAATCTGTCCAACCACCAACAAACTGGTGTGGGAAAAAAAATCAGAGAACGTCTGGGGAGGGGCAGGAGTCCTCCCTCTGTTCTGGGTTTCCATTTTCCTTTCTTTTCTCTACTTGGTCACTGGTGCACGAGCTGTTTTGCAGTCAGTGGGTATTTCTGATGGATTAAGAACATTTCCTGGAATCTACTAGATTTGTTTTCAAAACCAAAGGAGAGGTGAAGAGCTGGGTTGTTCTATGTATCAATGATGCCTTCTGCAAGCACTCTTTCAAAAGGCAGGTGGATTCAAAAGCTGTGTTTTCTCTGCAGTCAGGTCATCCTTTAGAAAAACATTTTGGGACAGATCAGCGTTGGGTGCCATGTTCCCAACCCTGCAGGTTGGAGTGCTGCTCTGCTCCTTTGCATGCAGTATCCCAGGCATTGCAGTTCTCACTTGGTTTGCAGTGTACCTTCCATTTTGGGTCCAAACTTGGCTCTTCCATCTCGTGGTGCTGCATCTTTGACTTCTGCAGGGCTGCACCAGCTCCGTGCTGGATTGGAGCTGGGCACTTTGCTTTATCCGTCAGGCTGGATGTAATGATGTCCTCGGGGCTTCTGAAGGGAAGGACAAAGAAGCAATTCTGAAGATGCTGTGAGCTAGGCAGAGCTCGCTTGCCCTGTGAGGAGATGGATCCTAGAGCATGGGGTCTCTCTTTGGGCTGAGGACACTCTGAAATGCTCAAAATGGTGTTCGGAGTGAGATTTTTTCTCAACACTTTGTCTGTGAAGAATGAACAATGTTGGAGGGGGGGTTCACAGACAGAGTAAATGCCTCTGATCCATTGTTCTCGTAGTTTCCACCGCATTTATGAACTCCCATATAAAAGACTTACCTTTCACTAGTATGATTAAGAAAAGGCCAATGTAGCTTTCCTGCTTGCTGGAGCATGAAGCGTGTTTAATTTAATAATGCTGATAGATCTTAAAGCCAGGAGCATTTGGCTAACACATGACCCACTTTTTCAATCAATTGGAAACATTTACATAACGGCCAGCTTCAGGGTCTCCCATGTGAGGGATAGGGAGCACAGGGCTGTGGTAGGTGGCTGCAATACAGGGCATTTGGTGAGAGCACCGTGGTGGATTTCATGCATCCTTGGTGGGAAAGCCATGGCCCACCTCCCTGGGGCTGCCAGCCCCTGCTTGGAGCAGCACAGCCAACGTGTCAGCTCTCCCAGAGCTGCTCGGTTTGTGACAGCCCCGTCTCCATTCAGCTGTTCTCTTGTGGGAAAGCATCATCTCCCTGCTCACCGCATGGCTTTTGTCCATTTTGAGCTCTGTGGGAGCCTACTGGAAGAGGATGCTTTCACTCAAGCCCAACTCGCGGCCATTTGTGCACTGCTACACATTTATACATCCCAGCTGCTTTTTTTTGCTTCAAAGTAATAACTGAGCACTAGGTTTACCTCCCATTTTTTGGTCACAGACACCACTGTATGAGCACAGAAAAACAGCAGATGCTTGTGACAGAAAAAATCTCCCATCTGATGTGTACCGAGGGATTAAAGAACATGGAGGAGAATTGCTGCAGATCTCCTGGCATTGCGCACAGGAGGATGCTGGCATCATCCCTGAGACAGGACTGGTCTCCCCATGCAGTAGGCTGCAGAGACATTCGGTGTGCCCCCTCCTTGCACAGAGATGCTATTAAGGAGACACTGGGAAAAAAAAAAAAACAACAGGATTTGTTTCCCTACCTACTGCAATTTGTCTTCCTGCCTCGAAAATACTGGTAGCATTTTTACCTCTAGAGGGCAGAGGAGGAATGGAAGGGACTGTGTCAGCGTCTGGAAGATGGGCAGAGGTTTCATGAAATATGTACAGCTGGAAATGACGTGCGTTCATCAGACACAGCACCTGGCTTACAGATTAAAATCCAGAAGTGCAGTGATCAGAACACCAGCTCAGCCCTTCCTGCTCCTCGCTCTTGGAGTCTGATGGATATTTCCACTTACAGAAGAGCCGGCTTTTCCAAAACCCACAGCTCCAGATTTTCTGAGTGTTCATTCATGCTCAGAATGGTGAATTTTGGTTTGCCAGATGCATGCCCTGGGTATTTTGAAGTCCAAGCTCTGCAATCAGTCTTTGACCAGAGGGTTCCACCAACTCCCTGCTCCCTTGTCACAGAATCGTAGCATCATAGCATCACTTGAATTAGAAGGGACCTTTGAAGGTCATCTAGTCCAGCTCCCCTGCAATTAACAGGAACAGATAGATGTACTGACGGTGGGGTGGCAGAGGTAGGGGTGGTGAATCCATGAGGAGGGATCAGGAATGCCAACTCACCCCAGGGATGCCCATCCTTGCCCCTCTGTCCCCAGGTGATACGGCTGTGCCGCTGCCTCCTCTTGTGCCAGGGCTCCTCCCACTGGTCTCCCATCCCTGGTAGGAAATGGAGTCAAAGGTCTCCGAAGGCGGCCTGAACGTCACCCTCACCATCCGGCTGCTGATGCACGGCAAGGTAAAGGCTCCTGGCAGGGCTACACCCCTCTCCCTTTCCTGCTTGGGTTATATTCATGTCTTGCAACATCATTTATTCTGTGGCGTTTTCTTTTTTTTTTTTGGTAGGAAGTCGGAAGCATCATTGGAAAGGTAAGCACATATTTTAGATTCACTAAATAAGGTTAAGGAATGTGATGCAAACTAGCTTAAATTCTTGCCCCATAGGCCACAGGGCACCATTTAGCTCACACAGAAAGCTTCACGAGGTGCATCTGCTCCATGATTAAGTCCTGGCTATTTGTGGTGGTGAAGATCTGCAGCATTAACACCTTATTCTTTAAATAAATGCTTGCAGCTTATTTATACATCAACTTTTCAGGCCTGGAAGGAGTCACAGTTTTGTATCTCATGATATTAGAGTTCTCCACAGATACTAGAGCAGAAACCATCCTTCACAACCACTCCAAAGGGCCATCTTTTTTGATCGTCTAGACTGTTCATGAGCTTTTCCATGAGGTTTTCCTCCAAACAGGAAATCTAGAAAGGGAGGTGTAAGTTACAGTTATGCTATTTGGTCAGTATCAGTCCTTACAGACGTGGGAGCAGGGGTGAGTTTGGATCATCAGCTCTTCAACTCACCCATCGTGTAGGTGTCAGGGCCAGGTGTCACAGAGCTCCCCGAAGTTTTGGCCATGTGCTGCAGTGTGTTAGAGAGATGCATGTTTGGGAAGGTTGTTTTGTCTTGAGTTTTTACAATGGCCCGTGTTTCTGCTTCTTATTTCAGAAAGGAGAGACTGTGAAGAAGATGCGTGAAGAGGTGAGCAACTCTGGTCCATGAAGTGATTTGGAAGAGAGGGATGAGGAGTGGGAAGGGCTGGCACCTCTCCTCCCAGCAGCACACAGAGCATGACCAGAGCTGTCCCAATGGCTCACTGCTCTGTGAGATACTGTGTTTACTGGGAATTTTCCAGAGACAACAGCTTCCTACTTCTGACACAGTGAAATAAGATTGCTCATGAGATGAGAGAGTTTGCCCACGGTCTTTGTACATTTAGCTGCCAAAGAGCTACCAGATCACTAAGCAGAGCTCTTCACACGCAGTGATGCCACAGGCCACTCTTGCCCTGAAAGCACAGGTTCACATTGCAGTAAAATATCCAAGTCAGGCCCTTGGAAATCCTTTTTGGGGGCTCAGGGCGAGTCAGGATTGGAAGTACCATGGGGCAAGGGTGGGAGTTTTTAAGATTAGATGGGATGTCTTCACGTGGTGACCAGGGAACAATTTGCAGTGTGCTCCCAGGGCACTCTGAGTTTCTGCTCTTGGGTGCTGAGGATCCAGCTCAGGAAAAGGGTTGTGCTGCATCCGGTGGCTGTGGCTGCCCCAGGAATGCCTTTCTCTTTGCAGAGCGGGGCGAGAATCAACATCTCGGAGGGAAACTGCCCTGAGCGGATTGTGACCATCACTGGCCCCACCGATGCCATCTTCAAGGCTTTTGCTATGATCGCCTACAAATTTGAGGAGGTGAGAAATGTGACCCCTTTCCCCTGAGAGGGTGGAGTGCGAGGGTTTGCATGCCACCCTTGTAGCCCACTGTTGGGTCCAGCAATACATCTGAATGCCTTCAACCCATGCATGCATGGTTGGACTCGCTCACCTGGTACACAACCTCGGCACAAAGCCTTCCCAGTTGCTTCAGACATCTCTCTACGGGCAAGAGCTGAGCCTAGCCTGGGTCTGGAAGATGCGATCCCTCCTTGCTGGCTCTGGGCATTTGGGTTGGGGTTGTGTGGCAGACGTCTGGGTTGGGGAACAAGGGCTGATGCGTTGTCTTCTTCCTTCCCCAGGACATAACCAACTCAATGAGCAACAGCACTGCCACCAGTAAACCTCCAGTGACGCTGCGACTGGTCGTACCAGCTAGCCAGTGTGGCTCGCTGATTGGCAAGGGAGGCTCCAAGATCAAGGAAATCAGGGAGGTAAATCACACTTAGTTACTGTGGGTAACTGCAGCTCCTCAGAGCTGATCTGCATCCTTGGAAAGGGGGATGCTCGTGATCTGGCACTGTGCGTCAAGGCAATTCCCAGGACGGTCTCTGCTGATGCAGGAGTGGTGTCACGGGTTTTGTCCCATGGGACTTGCTATGTCCTCCCTAGGATGGGGCTGCAGCTCTCTGAGGGCACGTGGCACTGGAGCTGAAGCTGGATGAAGGGAAGAGGGCTTCTGCATTGAGATTCCTCCTTCTCTCTCTTTCTGTCTCCAGTCCACAGGTGCTCAGGTTCAAGTGGCAGGGGACATGCTGCCCAACTCCACGGAGCGGGCGGTGACAATCTCGGGGACACCCGACGCAATTATCCAGTGTGTCAAACAGATCTGTGTGGTGATGCTGGAGGTACAGTCTGTAACAAAGGGGGTAAAGTATATAGGACAAAACCTGACCGGCATCACAACAGCACTGAGAGCTGTGGATCATGTCCTTGTCACTGTTCACCACGCGTTAGTGGACCACTCTCATTTCCTGGTACCTTCGTGTGAAACCCACCCAAATGTGTTTTCCCCCCACTGTGTTTGTGTTATTTCTAGTTTGCCAAACTGGAAACCACTTGGGTGCCTGAAAGGAGAAGGTTTGTGTCACAACACCAGGAGGTTTCAGGAGAGGGGTGCTGGGAGGAGGCAGCCAGTGCATCTGCTGTGCTGGGACAGCTGAGAGGGTGCCAAGGGAAGGGAGTGGTGGGCATGAACCCAAGCCCAAACTCCAGTGAGGTGGAGGAGGAGAGGTGGTGAGGAAGGCGGGTGCAGAGCAGGAGCCATGGCATGCATGAACGTGTGGCAAGGGTACAGTTTTCTGGGAGAAGTTATTCACAAAGTCCTCTGCTTTGGAGCAATGCTGCCATGCCAACAGCTTATTGCTGGAGCTGACTGCAACTACATGCTCCACCTCCATGCTTACTACCTTGGAGAAGCTCAAGAAGGAACCCATTGCTGTCACAACACAGTGACATCCCCGCTCCTGGTGCCTCCCACAGCCAAAGGCACAGACACGCTGCTCTGCTGGGTGGCCTTAATGCCAGTGTTTCTTTAGAGCAGGGAGAAACGTTTCAGAATTGCATAATAGCTGAGGTTGACAGGATCTTTGGGTCCATCTGGCCCATCCCCTGCTCCAGCAGGGACACCCAGAGCAGGGTGCCCAGCACCATGTCCAGGAGGCTTCTGGAGGTCACCAGGGAAGAGACCCCACAACATCTAAATACTTGTGCCAGGGCTCAGTGTCACCTGCATAACACAGAAGTGCTGCTTGATAGTCAGAAGGAGCTTCCTGTGCTCCAGTTTGTGTCCAGTGCCTCTTGTTTTGGCACTGGGATGTTTGCTGCTGCAAGAGCTCCAGAAGAGGACGCCAAGATGTGGTTGAGATGAAGCAACACCAGCCATAAGCAACTTCAGTTTGCCAGCAGAATGACTAGAGAGGAAAGGCCGTGAACCTCGATGCCAACCACTGCTGGTGCTCACTTGGACACGCTGTGCTGTTAAAGGAGCACGGATTTAGCCACGCAGTGGCTTCAGGTCGTGCTCTGTACTGTGGCAGAGATGGGTTCGAGGTGATGTTCACTGTGTGTTATAAATCTTGCTGTTCTCACTGACCAAAACACAGGGTTGATATTCCTCTGTATTGCTCAGCAGCGGGAAAGAGGAAAAAAAAAACCAACAACCAACAAACACATTAATATTCTTGCAGTCATAGATCTGGAAAGTCCCCCAGCTTTAACAGTTTACAGAGCTGCTCCTTGTAGCTTTTATGTCTTCAGTTATCTTGCCACAGAAATTCTTATTCATCCCCTCCAAGATCTGTAATGTGATGAAAGAAAAAGCAGGTTTGTGGTTATGCATGCAGTGCTTTGATCACACGGCTTTCCTAGAGACTTTTACTAAGCAAGGAGATTTGAATATGCCATGTGGCTACAGACAGACGTGTAGAAGAATGTAGAGGAAAATGGTGGAATTTTCTACAAGATAATGTAATTTATGTTGGCTATCCTTACATATTAGCAGCAACTGAACCATTTCACCTCTGGCGGACTCAGAAGGCTTTCATCTGAAATCTCTCATGATCCAAAGGAATCTCCCAAATCTCAGCTCCTCTGCTGCTGGCACCTGCCTGGCTGCTCCAACAGACAGCTTCCACTGTGCAGCTTGGGGGTGAGATCTGCAGAAATGCTCACCTTATTGTCTGAGAGGGCTTGCCAAGCCTTGTGCAAATGGAGCTGCCATGGCCAAAGCAGTGGATGAGGCATGGGAGGCCTCAGTGACAGCGACAGCACTTTGCCTGGGTGCTGAGAAACCAAGCCTCAGAGGTGCCGCTGTGCCCATGGTGAAGATATGATGCAAGGAGAGCTGCTGTGTGAGGATGCACACATGGGCTTGGCATCACGTTCCTCCCCACCTCCCTGCACCTTGAAGGCCCCTATGGAGTGCCTTGAGAAGGATCTTGCAGCCCAGCATCAGCCTGGTCTAGGGGACAGAATGTGTATAGAGCGGAGCCAAGGTGGGGAAGCTTGACAGGTGTTCCGAGGTGCTGTGCATTGGCAGGGGAACTCCTGAGGGTGTCCTCCTTGTCCACTAAATGCCCATTTTCCCCATGTCTTCCTGTCCAGAGATGCTGTCTGCCCGGTGCGGGTGCTGCTGGCCGTGGCCCCGGAGGCTGCGCTCACCCCGCAGCACAGCACGGGTTGGAAGCCCGTGCTCCGTCGGGTGCTTTCTAATGCTCTTTTTGCTGCTGTTTCAGGAAAGCTGTTCTAATGTTCTCTCTCCCTTTCCTTGTCCCTTTTCCTAGTCCCCACCAAAAGGTGCCACCATTCCCTACCGCCCAAAGCCCGCCTCCACCCCTGTCATTTTTGCAGGTGGTCAGGTAAGAGCCGACCCGCTTGCAGCCTCCACTGCCAACCTCAGCCTTTTACTGCAGCACCAGCCGCTGCCCGTTAGTGCACTCAGGTTTCTTGCCTTCTGACTTGCATGGTGTCATCCCATCCGTGTCGCGCCGCAGCAGCCAGACCAAAAGCTCCTTGCAGAACTGCTGGGGACAGGGGCAGGGATGGGGCAACAGAGAGCGTGGTGCCTAGCAGTGCCCTTAGGATGGAGCTGGGGACAGCACAGAGGCTGTTCTGTATTGGATGAGTCTATCTATCCACTTAAAATGCTGATTTTGCTCATAGTCACACCTCTAGGAGTCCTGGCTCAAAAATCAGCTTGATTTTTTATCCGTTTTTGCTGATAGATATGCAAGGGGCCATGCACGTGTGAATATTTCCTATTTTCTGGCATTACCAATCTAATTAAAAGGAACTTTGCACGTTGCAAATTGGTATCAGGTGGGCCAGGCTCCTTCTAGGCTGATCAGGACTGGGCTGTTCCTCTGCTCCGTGGGAGGGTCAATCCCTGCCGCCAGGAGGGAACTCCTGCTGCAGGAATAAGCCTCACCTGTATCCATGAGACAGCCTATGTCATATCACGCCATAGCAATGCAAGGCTAAATCAAGCCTTGCAGTGACTTCTGGCAGCTCTTAGAGGTGACAGCAGACTTCTGTGTGCAGAATAGCCAGGTATGCAACACATGCCTTAAGTCTGTGTGATGCATATGTTCACAGTTGTGCCTCTCAGTTAAACTAACGAGCAGTTGATTTCCGTAAAGCATGGCAGGAATGAGCATGAAGCCTGGAGAGCACCGTCAGGTTGGCCCACAACCTGACATGAATCACCTGGTGCCACCTCCTGCACCATGTAAGCTGTCTCATGCTCTCCCACTCCATAACAAAATAGCAGAACAGAAGCCTAAAACACAGGCTGTCAGGCAGCGTGCTGACTTAGCACCTTGTGGTCACTGCCAGCATCAGGGCAAGGGTTTTGTGCAGCCTGAGCAACCATCCTGGAAAGGAGCTTTGGGTCCAGCTGCCTGGCGAGCAGTACTTCTCAAAAGGGAGAGTAAGGGGCAGCACGCTCCTGCTGCAGGGATGCTGCAGGATGCAGTGGGCAGCAGAGCTCATCCCCACCTGCCCCAGTGAGCCTCTCAGCCCTGGCAGCTCCTCGTGGGCCAGGCTGGAGTGAGAGGCTCAGTCTGCATCTCCCCAGTTCACCTCCCTGCCTTTCATTTTGCTGCTTCCAATTAGCGTCTCAAATCAAAAGCCAAAAGCCGAATCAAGCTGCCAGGAAATGCCAAGTTCTCCCTGGCATTAAAGGCCTCATTATTTGTGGAGGATGCAGCACATGTTCAGGAGGTGTTCCTTTTTTTTTTTCTTCTTTTTTTCCTGGCCATCTTTACTCTCCCTTTATCAAGTGCTATCCATCTCTTAGAGCGTTTCTTTCAGAATCATCTGAATAATGTGGCAACTAGCGAGATACATCTTGCTAGCTGGTTGAATCCAAAACGTTGGGCACTCTGGTGGCTCTCAGCCCACAGTGGTGCTTATCTTCGGGTTATTTACAAAAGAGGAGGGATTACTACAAGTGATGGTAATAACAGCAAACTCTTTAGCCAACATCTGCATGGGTTTGCCTGTTGTAAGCCCCGGGACGTGTGGCAGCAGCCTCGCTGCGTTGCTGCAGCAGAGTGCTGGGATGGATGGGAGGTGTGGAGCGGGCTGGGAGCTGTGCACCCTAAAGGATGGCACGGCCTTGCCTGCATTAGGATGCACGTTTAGGCACAGAGGGTGGTGGCGATGCCGTCGTGCACCCCTTGCACAGAGCTCTGGCTGCTGAGCACCTTTGCACAGTGAAGCCCATTGCAGCCTTGCCTCCCCCTTCATACAGCCCTGGGACGTTTGAAGAGCTGTGTTCTTCTTTGGGAAGAGCCAAAACAATCTCTCTAGGCTGGGAGGGGCTCCCTGCAGCCCCAAACCCAGCAAAGCCCAGGGCTGGCAGGGCTTCACCACCTCCTGCCTCCTCTAACAGCCTCTGTTTTTCCTTTGCAGGCCTACACAATTCAGGGACAATACGCCATTCCACACCCGGATGTGAGTTTTACTCTTGTTTTTCTTATACCCTGTTATGTCACCTGCATGCTACTGTTAGATGATGGAATATTAATATTAGACAATAATATTAATAGCATATTCTCAAAGTAACTGGCCACGTGTAGTCTCTGTAATACCTTGAGTAGCCTTTTAACCTGTGAACACACACTTTATTAATTCTGAGGACTTGGCCTGATGCTAAATTGTGCTATCCCTTCATGGTGAGACCAACCAGATCACGCATTTTGTGCCTCAAAATGATCAAAATGAGCAAAGGGAGGGGAAAAAAAGGAACTTATCTTCTATTTCCCCCTTATCCTAGAACACTGGTCATCCGATGGCTTGCCAAGATGTCTGGGTGGGATGGGAGAAGCAAGAGCTTTGTCAGTGTGTGGTTTCCTGTTTGAAGCAGGGTCGTGTCTCTTCCGTGGGATCCTCATCCAGGTGATGAGGGATGGGAATGTGTTTTGCTCGTGCTGAAGTCCCCCCTGCTCATGGCTTATTCTGATACACAACCCAGGATGGGTGTGGGACCTGCAGTGCATATGCTGGGGGACACATAGGGAAGGGGTGCTTTTATAAGACGCTGCTCTTGTGGCGCAGCTCTGTTGGTTTGATGTGGCTCAGGGCTTCTCCTGCCCATTGGGCAAGTTGGATGTTGAGTCATTGCCATACTTCTTCTCCAGGCCACTGTGAGTGCACATTGCCCACGGCCCCACTGGGGACAGCCTGGTTCTGTGCTTGTTCTGCAGGCTGGGCTGTGTCTGTAGGAGCAGTGACTTCCCCTGCTTGTAGCAGAGGAGCACGGATATCACTCAGTTTTGATGGTTAGGCTGTCTACGTGGTGCCAGAATGCCGTACTTTGAAGAGCTCGCTGCAATGCTGATCAGAAATATTCTGAATTGTGTGCCTTTCACTTCAGCTCCCAAAGCAGAAGAGAAACACGGCTGCGTGTTGCAGTGGGTAGATTCTTGTCCCAGTTTTCCTTTGCAAACCGTGGAAGCGAGTCGTGTTTTCCTTGTTACTATTCCCCTCTGTATGACAGGAATAAAATGCAGCATAGCACATGCGATGCTTTGGAAGGATTTAAGCTTTCATCAGCAGTGGCAAAGCAGTGTCTGATCCTTGCTGCTGTGCTCTGCCCTGCTCCATCCAGATTTGTGCAAATGCAGATTTGCTGAGACCTGGAAAAAAAGCCGTGCGTGCGAGAGCTGTGCTTGCCACCCCTCCCTCCCTCAGCCCTCTTGTGAGGATCTGTCATTTTAAATACTGCTCCATAAAGAAACCCATGCTGAAGATAGTTTGGGGGCATTGCCCTCATTCTTGCAGGTCGCTGTGTTTAGCAGACCCCTCCTGCAGACCCGTGACAGCGTTTCAAACACCAAAGCTGAAATGCAAGCTCCTGCCCCGGTTTTTCTCCCTCTGGCAAAACCTACACAGATCCCTGGGAGCTTTGTCTCCTGGAGGGCTTCAGCATTGCCTGGGGTTGCTAAGAACCAGCATCAGGACTATTTCTGATTGTTTGGAGAGCACCATCGTTCCTCAGTTAAGCAGCAGTGAGTGTGATGGAGTGTGGGTAGTGATGGAGATCCCCTCCTGCTCCCCACTAAAGCCGATCTGCCCACCTCCATCCCCCCCTCATTTTGTTTGGTTTTAATTTGGAACGGTGACACAGAGCACAAAATGTATTCCCAACAAAATTCTCGCCTCCTGACGGGGCTCCAAAAGGTCCCCATCACAACAAGGGATGCGAGGATCTGAACTACTGCTGGCCATGGCTGAAGCCCATCTTTCCCTGTGCTGGCCATGGGGTCATACTCACACTGCCCATGTTCCAGGTGGCACTAGGAGCCACACGGGCTGTCCATCTCACGGAGACATTTCCTACCTGAAGGCAGCACCACCTGGTGCTGGGGAGGTGGTCACAACCAGAGGAGCCACACATGGGCAGGTGCCCTTCTGCTGGCAGCCAGCAGCGAGCAGCATGCTGCAGACCTGGCAGGGGCTGGAGGTGCTTTGCACGAGGCCATGCTGCTGCCTTTGCAGCTCATCACACACAGTGGCTGCGTGCTCGTGACAAAAAGCCAGGACATCTGATGGGCTGAGAACGGGCTTCTAGCTAGTATTGTACTTCAGACCCTGGCCAAGCAGTTCTGCAAAAGATTTGGGCTTTATTGCATCTTACCCAGGCCAAGTCCTTCTGTTAATGCTGGTTTCGCCATGTCTCAACATGGCTTCCAATTTTTTGTTAGTTTTTTTTTTTTTGGTTGGTTTTTCTTTTTTTTTTGGTTTAGGTTTCTTTTGGTTTGTTTTCTTTCTCCATTATAAGTTCGTTCTTGCTTTTTGGTGTGACTTGTTGTACTCTATGACAATAACCTTCTTAGCTCTAATGTCCCTCCTACCCCTCAGCAGTTGACCAAGCTCCACCAGTTGGCTATGCAGCAAACCCCCTTTACTCCCCTTGGACAGACCACCCCCGCTTTCCCTGGTACGTACCCACACGCCCTTTCTAGATATCCTTCTCTTCTTACCTGTAGAGTTTCTCTGTCTTTCAAAAATCACTGTATCTAACAGAAACAAATAGGAGAAGTGAAGCTGAGGTCGCAGCACCCACGGGGAGAGGCTGGTAGGGAGGTCAGGTAGAAATCTGGGGGACGTGGCAGTGGATAACCATGCATGCCCGCTCTGCTCCCAGCCTTGCTGGCTTTCTGAGCAGAAGGATGAGCTCCTGCACCACCCTTCCCAGCCAGCATCCCCTGCCATGCACCCATTGCAGCGGGCAGGATGTCCCTGCATCCCGCAGCACCAGCCAGAGATGCTGCCCTGCGGGATGCGGCTGGGACAGCAGCGGGGAACGCAATGGGAAGGCACTGCGGTGCAGGGTGCTGGTGTGGCTCACCAGCCTGGGCTGCAAAAACGCTGCTAAAGGCTTCACAGAGAGCTAGGAAGCAGATATAGAGAGCGCAGGGGATGGCAATGATGAAAGCTCAGTGGTCGAGGTGCTGGATGGAAATGCCTTTTCTGACCGTATGTTCATCATATTTTGAGCTTCCTAGATGAAGTGACATTGCTTATCTCCTCGAAGGCAAAAGCATTAAATCTGTTTCTTCTTTGCTCTTCAGGAGAAAAGCTGCCCTTACATTCCTCCGAAGAAGCTCAAAATCTGATGGGCCAATCATCAGGTAAAACACAAAGCTACAGGGAAATCAGTAGGCGGCTGCTGAAATATATTTCTGAAGTAGGACTGTGCCACTGTTGTGCTCCTGGATAAATTGTCTTGTCTGTGGAGAAGAGAGCATGTTTCCTGGTGGGCAGTATCGTGCCCCCCATCCCCTCTGTGCAGCATGTCCAAAGGGAAGTACCTGCAGTTTGTTACCTGTTTTTGATGTTTGTGTGTAATGGCCACCTATCTAATGGAAAGGCGCTAGCGTCACCACCGTTATTCTTCTGTTTAATCTTGCACAACTTCATCCAGAAAGCATAGAAAAATACTTGTGGGAATAGCAATAACATGAAATTTTAGCTGTCTCTCAAGTCACTCAGGGATAGCTGCGTTTTTAATGGACCCTGAAGAGCCAAATCACAGCCATCTTGGAGAAATTTCCATTTCAGATGTCCCTGGCAGTTGCAAGGCCATGTGCTGAATGTGCTTTCATACCCTGCTGTTGCTCAGGGAAATCACCCCAAGACCTCCCGGACATGCTGGGGCGCGCTTCCTGCCTGCCTTGAAAGCATCTGGGAACATCACTCAATCACAGACCATGGAAAGAGACCCAACCAGGTGGTAGCAAAAATAAATGTCGTAATATTGCTCCACGAATCCTTGTCCTCCACACACCCTTCTTTGCCCTTTGCCATTGCCTGTGGCACTGATCCTGCCCTCGCCAAGGATAGGGGTGGCCCATTCCTGGAGATGCTCAAGACCAGGCTGGATGGGCCTTTTGGCAGCCTGCTCTATGGGAGGATGTTGGAATCCTCAACCAGGAGACAGGAGTTGGGCTCAATTATCCTTATGGGTCCCTTCCAACTCGTGATATTCTGTGGTTTTGTGATTCTATGAGACAAGATGTCCCTGACCATGGCAAGGGTTTGGAGCTGGGTGGGCTTTAAGGTCCCTTCCAACCCAGCCTACGATTCTCTGATTCTGTGTCTCCTTGTGTTGCATCCATGGCGACTGCATGTGTGTATCAGAGGGGAAGGAGCTTGTGTGCCAAAATAAGTAATCTCCAGGCTGTAACAACAGCCGTCATGACGCAGAGGGTGATGCAATGCCCCAAAGCCCATCTGGGAGAGAATGTGGAGGGCTGGGATGGCACGTGGGAGGAGAAGCACATGCATGAAGGGCATTTAGCATCTGTGGACCCGTCCGCCCTGCTCCTGCTCTCAGTGGTCCAAGGGACGTGGCCGTGGCTCTTCATGGACACCTTGCAGTGACGGTGCCATGCCCAGACAGGTGTGGGTTCAATACTGAGGCTACTGCTGCCAGACAGACAGATGGGAGCCCTTCTTCTGTGGCACAGAGGGAAGTGCAGACCAGCAAAACGCAGTCATGGCTGGCAGTAGGTGCTCAATGCTCTCGAGGCAATGGCGCATTGCCATGCAGATGCCCCTCTGGTTTTTGTGACCAGGGCTTCAGTGCTGTTGCAGCATCGTGTCACAGCAGTGTGGCAGTGCCAATCTTCTGCTGCTCTTTTTCTCCAACCCCCTTAATTCTGCTCTTTGCTGTGATGCAGGCCCTGCAGCCTTTTGGACTCTTGTGCACTGTGTTAAAAGCCTTCCCTGGTTGTTTATATGTTGTATAGATTACTGTAACTCCCTATTACTTACCAGTCAGCTTCTGTCCCATGGATTAATATGTCCCTACATCAGCTGTGAGGTGATTGACCTGTGAGAAATGCAGGCTCCCACCTGGTTGCAAGCACCCATGCAGCTGCACACACAGGCTGCTCTCCTGGCTCCCTTTGCCACTGCAAAGGTGAGCATCTGTCCTGTCTCAAGAGAAGCTGGGAGGGAGCACTGTGCTGTGCTCACTCCTTGCTGCAGGCAGCACATTTCCAAGTAGTTTTGCAGGGAAGCAGGCTCTCCATTTATGTGCTGTTTGCCTTACCCTAATAGGGTCCATTGGCCTTGACTCCAGGCAGCGTGTACATCTTCAATTCAGCACTTTGTCTGCTGAGCTGCTTTCCTAAGCAAGCTGTGCTCAGGGAGGGCTGGAGGGCGTATGGACAGCCCTCCTCCAGGGCTGGGTTTTTCTGTTGCTGTGCAGAGAAGCATTGCATGGGAAGGGGCTTATCCCACCTATGAGGGCTCCTCTGCAGTGATACCGCAGCCCTGTGCTATGCACACCTTCTTGGAGCCAGCCCTATTGGGGGACAGAAGGTCAAGTGGCACAGGAGAAGGTGGCACCCCGCTCAGATGAGGCAGGTAGAACCGTCTTCCTCCTCCTTGTACCGGAGTGTGTGATCCCCTTCCTCTCCCAGCCCCTGAGCAGGACGCAGCCTTTGCAATGTCGACTGCTGCGGGGAAGTACTGGCGACCCGCTGCACTGCTGCTGCGAGCTGTAACCATTTTCCCTTGCATATGCCCAGGTCTGGATGCCAGTCCCCCGGCCAGTACTCATGAACTCACCATTCCCAATGATGTAAGTACCGTGGCGCTTCCTCCACCTGTGCGTGTGTGTGTATGTCCACATATATATATATATGTATATATATATACATATATATGTAAATTGCAGATGTACAGCCTTGTTACATGCGTTTAGAGATGCCCCTTCACTGTCTTCACTCATACCTTGTGCACAGCTCCGCAGTCTGGTTGTCTGGGGTCATGGAGCACCTCCTGGGCTCTCCTCTGTTGGTAGCTTTCCTAGGGAGAATCCTCCTCCGTGCTCCGCTTTTCCTTCCCAAGTGAACTTAGTGCTCACGAAAAAGGCCCAGCTGACAGCATAGGGAAGGGCAGGGAGCTCTCAAGCCCCAGTGTAATTCTTAATATACTGTTGGCAGATCTGAGAAGTTTCGGACCTGTCCTTCTGAAAGACAGTGCATTGTGTTTGGGTACTGGCAGCAGTCAGCGTTTGGGTCTTACAGGTGGAGGCACTGTGGTGAAGTGGATATTGTACTCAGATGTTGGTCAGAAGGAGGTTGGAGTTGCGGTGGTCCCAGAGAGATGCAAAGAGGCTGCTTGGGATGCTCAGATGGGAGGAGGTGAGATGGAGAGCCCAGGCGGGCAGCACCTGGACCTGTGGTCTCGCTTGCTTCTGGACTAGTTGCCATGGGATGAAAACCAGCTTGTGCTCAGTGGAAAGTGGAGAAATGATGTCATGACTTGGTCCCCACCACCATCACCTACCAGCCCATCATTCTCAGAGGTTTCTGGATGGGGTCTGGAGGCTGTTTGCTTTTCTTCTTCCTGTTTAACAGGCTTTTGTCATCCTAGTGAGGAAGCCTGGGGGAGCCCAGCGCTGGCAGTATTGGTAGTATTGGGTGACCCCTGAAAAGGGGCCTTTCCTTCCTTTTAGCATGTGGAGCAACCTGCCACGGGACACAGGACCACTGGGAGCACTTGCTAAAAGCCTGGCTAACATCAGGGCTGTGTGGTGTTGGCTGTTACCACCTGTATCTCCTTCCCATCCGCTGGAAGTGCCTCCCGTTGCTTTGATGGCTCTGAAATTCCTGCTGTTACCTTTCCTGAAACTGGCTATCTCAGAGTGAAGCACCCACTGGCAGGTTTGGGCAGTTCAGAGCAGACCACAGTTGAAAGGGAATCTTGGGATGAAATCCAGCTTGTCACTCCCATGACTGTCAGAAGCTTGAACACTATGCAAGAGAAGCTTAGATTCTGCTGGAAGTCTCTCTGAATAGGTCTGCCTCTTCATGGTCCCCCAGCAGGTTCACAGCTGCACGTACGTCTGTTTGCTGAAGCACCTCAAGGCTCTCTGAGCTATTTCTGAAGACCTGGATGGGCAAATGTTGGGCTGAATATCACACAGCAGCCCTGGAGACAGCAGATCTTTCCAGTTCTGTGATGGGTGTATGTTCAGATCCCTTAGCCTTTGCTGCAGGCAGTGATGAGATGGACATGGCTGGAGATAGCTCTTGCTTCGGGGAGCTAAGAACCCGTCACCATGGGCTGACAATGAAGCTTTCTTTAGGACTTACAGAAGGAAATCTTTTGGAACAGCATGGTGCACGACAGCATCGTTACTCAGGAAAACTGCAGGACATTTCTCTGCTCTTCCTAACCCTCTTCTTTGCTGGGAGCTCTGGTGTCCTTGCTGAGAGAGCTGCAATGAAGGCATCCACCCAGAACAAGCCATCTGACAGCAGGACCAGCAAGCATTTGGAGCAGTGATTGTCTCCCTTTGTACAGCCAGTGACAAAAGTCCAGCAGCTGATGAGAACATCCCACAGATCTCCTGGGTATAACCGTGGAAGGGCATTCAAATGCTGATGGCCAGACGGGATGGGCTGGATATCGGGAAAAGGTTCTTCACCAGAAGGTGATCAGGCACATCTCCCCATCGAAGTGGTCATGATGCTGAACTTGCGGGACTTCAAGAAGCATCTGGAGAATGTTCTCAGACATATGGTCTGATTTTGGGTGGTGCTGTGCGGAGCCAGGAGTTGGACTCAATGATCCTTGTAAGTCCCTTCCAACTCAGGAAGTTCTGGGATTCTTTGACACTCAGCGACACCTCGTGCCTGTGTTGGAAAAGCTGCACACCTTCATTGTGCCTTACCCAGCTATGGTGGTGCCTGAGGGACCCCTGGTTTGGTGCACAAATACTTGAGAGCAAGGATGAAGACACCCTCAGGACCTCTGAGAAAATTCACGCTTCTTTATGGCTCTAAGGAAAACTAATTATTTTTGAAAGAGTGTGGAAGACATTTTCCAGTAGAATTCTTCTGTCCTGCAGCATCCTTGTAGGGCAGTGAGGGGGATGCCAAGAGTGCAGAGGTCAGGATGAGTGAGCGATGCTAGCAGCGAGTGGCTGGGGGACGCCTGGGGCCGGTCTGATCCCAAGAGCCCTGTGCCCATGTTCAGGTTGGGTCTCCTCGTTTCGTGAGCACTGAGGTCACGGTGTCTCCAGGCAGGGCAAGGAAGGCTCCGGCCGCGCGGTCGTGCTCGCGTCCTCAAGCTGCGCTGCTTCACGCCATCCCCCCGCGCTTTCTTTCTAGCTAATAGGCTGCATAATCGGACGCCAAGGGACCAAAATCAATGAAATTCGGCAGATGTCTGGAGCACAGATCAAAATCGCCAACGCTACGGAAGGGTCATCGGAGCGCCAAATCACCATCACAGGAACCCCCGCCAACATCAGCCTCGCTCAGTACCTCATCAACGCCAGGTGAGACCCGGTGGCGGGACGGCTGCCACCCTCACTCCAGGAGGGTTTTGCTTGTAGCAGGGCAAAATCGCCGTCTTCCCCCGCCGAGGAGGTAGCGCTGGGGCAGGGCACGGAGATGGATCTGGTCTGGTGGAGGGAAGGCGTAATTTGGGACCTTGCTGTGAAACCAGCCCGCTCTCGCTACCTCCTCGGAGCCTCTCCCACGTGCTTCCAGGCCTCCACCAATGCTTTCCTCCATCGAATGAAGTCAACCAAGCAGTCGAATAAACAGCAGACATGGGAATGGCCTGATCGCTTCCTTTCCATCTCCCGGCAGTGCAGCACGGCAGGGCCGGGGATGCTGCAAGTTGGGCTGCGCGCGGGGCTGCCGGCCATGGAGCCATCAGGGCGGCTGGGTGGGCCAGGTGGGCAGGTGGCCCATGAGCAGGGGGGCATCTGGCTGGCTTCGTGCTGTCTCTCAAGGCCATCCATCCGTCTGTCCATCTGTCCACGCTGTTGCTGGCAAGAAGAAGGGCTGAGGGCAGGGGAGTGCTGGCAAGGTGTGCGCAGGCTGTACCCCTCCTTGCACCCACCCCACCTCTGCCCTGACCTGCAGCAGGCTCCGTCACCCCCTCCTCCCCGCTGCCCAGTCCCACGGCACCTCCCCACCGCCTCCTGAAGAAGGAGAGAAAAGAAAACAGAGCGGCTCTGTCATTGGAAAGGGCTGTCCAAGCCACGGCTCATGCCATGGCAAAAGCAGAGATGGAGGGTGACCTGGTTGAGGGGAAGGATGGGATGCAGCTTGGCCTCTCCCTCAGTTTATAAAGGCAGAGCAAATGAAGGAACCGAGGGAGTTGTAGGTGACAGGCCAATGGGACGAGGACGCTGGGACTGATGCTTGCACCTGGTAGGAAGGACTTTGATAGAAGCCATGTGCTGGGACATCTCCTGCCAGCACCTGTTGTGCATGGCACTTCTGCTAGGGGCATTCAGTGAGGGTCTTCAGCATCTGTGCTTGAGCATCCTGAACTGCCCATAGTGTTCCACGTGCTCTGGCCACCAGACGTCGGACTGGTGACCTTCTGCCATAAGCTGTGACATCTCCACAATCTGTGAACCTCCTGAGCACCACCTAAGGAACCCACCGAGGCACCAAGCAGTGGGAAAGAATTATCCCTTACCCCCTAGTTCAGGATAGGGAAAGGGTGATTGGAGAGAGTGGACTTGTCTGCACAACACTGAGCCCGCGGGCGCCTCACCAGGCATCCCATGGGCCGTAAGCAGGAGAGACAGTGCTGCCCCACAGGATCTGTGTTTTCTTTTCTACTCCGTTGATTAAGCGCTTGTTTTTGTCTCCCCCGCCCCTCTCTCTGCCCCTGTCTATTCTAGGCTGACGTCTGAGGTCACTGGAATGGGCGCACTCTAATTTCCACCCACCATCCTCCACTCCGCACCACCCGACCCTCTCCAGCCAAGGGCACTCCACCCAGCCTGTACAACCTATACATTTACCGTCTTCCCCTTACCTCCACAGATACTCTTTTCTTTACTAACAGATATATATATATATATAAATACACATGCATATGCACCCACTGGAACGTTTCTTTATGACCTCCTTACTGTGCTCCTGAGATCGCTCCTGAACTCTTTGGTTATGGTCCTTGTTTTCAGCGTATGGTGTAATTACTTCATCTTCTTTCCAGGGGGGTCAGGGAGAGGGGGTTTCACTGGTGTGACTCAAGAAGACGCCGGGTCTCTAGTGACAGTCTAGTGTAGCTACTTAAACGTTTGCGTTGACGCTGGCTGTTCTTGCTGTAGCCTATGGCCCCGTGACACCACCCAGAGCTGTGCTCGCTGCCCTCCCCATGGTCTCCCCAGTGCTCCCCCTGCGTTTGCTTCACCCCCTGGCCTCCCCTTGCCGCCTCATGCCCCTACCCCAAGGATAAGGTGTAGTTTTTCACCCCTGTGTTGTTTTGGAAGCAGAATGTGTGGGAGCCAAGCCTACGTGCATGCATGGGTTCACGCACAGATGTCTCTCTTTGCAACATGGCAGGGTCCAGACAAGCCATTTTTAATATTCGAGGAAGGGAATCTCACTCTCTCTCACACACAAACACACATACACAAAATTCCCTTTTTATAACGAGCAACTGGATGCAGGAAGAATTCAGCTGTACAGGATTCACACCCCCAGGGGCAAATGAAAGCACTCTTTGACAATCCCCACAAGCAACCTTTGGACAATAGCTCAGGAAGATCTGTGAGCCAGCTGTGTTTGTCAGTGTTTGTGTTCAATAAATGTCTGTGCAGCTCTGCTACCAACAGGCTTTGACTGTTCTTCTCCTGGGCCACCCCACTGTTCCCAGTGCCATCCTTCCCTCTGCATCCTTCTCCATCCAGCAGCTCAGAGGGAAGGTGGGGGGTGTGTACAAAACCTTTCAGTTATGGTTATTTTGTTTATGAAAAGTCCCAGTGGTTGATGCACTTCCTGAGTGATCCTAGGCTTTCTTTTTCGCCAGGGAGGGTACTTGGCTTGCACAGTGTTTGGTTTTCCAAACCAAATTATGCTTATCCATATGGTTATGCTCATGGTTATGATTATGATGATGGTTATGGTAATGGTAGGAAAAGAAATATCTCACTACCCTCTTGTCTGGACAGATCCGCTATGTCTGTGCCCCAAGCCCTTCCCCTGCCTTCTGCTTCCAGGCTTTACATCTCTCTAATGCCACTCAAAAGTGGAAACAAATATATTTTCCATCAGTCGATCTCCTCCTGTGCAAAACGTGTGTCACCCGTTTTCCCCATATTGCAACCACTGCAATACATTTCTGCACTGTGACACATGGGAAATATATTGCTTCTCCTGACAAGCCCCAGGGCTGGATGCCTTGTCCCTCTCCCCATCCTGCAGAGCCTCCCCTGGGCAGGGCGGGGGGCACAGGCAGCAGCATGGCAGATGCTCCTGGACAGGAGGACGCAGGTGCTTTGGGCACAGCTAACGGGGTCAGATGGAGCCTCTGTGTCTGTGCAGATGCCAGAACTGTGGTCAGTGCTGTCACTAAGGTGCTGTCCTCAAGGATGGATGCTTTGCCCAGGGACCAGTGGTTCCTGCAGACCGAGGCTGTTCTGGATCCACACTCAACCCCATGTGAACCCATGGGTGACGTCCTCTGCCTGGACCATCCCCACCAGGAGTCCTGATCCGCCAGTTCCATCAGAATTCTGCTTTTTTGCTTTGATACAGGCTGCTGTTTTGTTTTAGCTATCCGGAGACGACCAACAACGGAGAAAGCTGTCAGAGCAGCTCTGGCTGGGAAATGCTGTGCTCCTGCTAATGAAGCTGGGGATTTTCTCAAAAACTGGGAGTACGGAAAATAACAAATCCAGGCTGAGGTCTTTCAAAGCTTATTCTGCTGCTCAGGGACCCATCTTCAAAGGAAAGGGGTGCAGCCTTTTCTCCTACACATTCAGGCTTCAGCAAGTATGGCGATGGAGCTGAGCCCTCACCAGGCTATTTTGCAAAGAGAAGCAACAACAACAAATCAAAAAAAAACTAATGTTAATGGGAATCTAGCTGCTTGTCCATTGTTATCTGGGCTTGAGCAAGGCCTGGAGATAAAGCTGATTAAACAACAGTTGCAGTATCTGCTGGGAACATGTTGATGACAGCAGTGATAGCAACAAAACCATAAGGAATGCATTAAACTCTTTCACTTCCTTGGTGCAACTCAAATGAAGATGGCATGAAGATTGTCTGTTTTCTTTGGAGGAAGTCACAGTGTTTCACTTTACTTGTGAGATGTCCTAGTTGTACGTTTAATAGGAACTCAGAGCGCTGCAGCATTGCACCCACAGCCATGTCAGTGGGAGAAACATATGCACATCTTTTATACTGATGTGAATACTCAGGATGATGTGAATGTCACAGTTAATTAACGGAAGAGCTTTAATGCATTGCTTGTCTCTCTCAAAGCAAGGCGTTTTATCCAGACAGAATGATTCAACATTTTTGGAAGTATCTGGATCAGTGAAACTCTTTGGGAATGTATTGTTTTGTGGGAAACTGGGATTTTGGCAGGACAGAATTGGTGCAACGCCTCATCCTGCTCCAGACCCCAGAGTGCAGTGGGGCTGCAGACCAAATTCAGCCCCTAGGATGGTTCATATCCATCCCAAGCCATGCTCCCAAAGTTGAGTGCTGGGAGTATTGCCCTGTGCATTTTTCTAGATTTTATTTGCAAAAGGTTTTTTTGGCAAAAAAAACACAAACATAAACAGTTGAAAAAGTAGATTGTTTCCCCTAAGGGAAAGTGACTTTCACTAGGGAGGCTCTTTAAATTGAAATTATTCTCGTTTAATTGTAATTCAGATGTTGCTTTTTTTTTTTTTTTTTTTTTCTTGTATTGATGCTAGTCACTTTTAATTATGCTAATTTCAAGCTTGTGGCCAATTAGAAAGGGTAATTTTCCCCGCACAGGCAGGGTTTCCAGCGGAAAGCTCTCGCTCCCACTGCGGTCACTAGATGTCCCTCTTGCCCCGCGAACCCCGCTCCAGCCTCAAGGCTTGACCTGGCCTCTCTCTGAACGATGTGCATTGTCTGACACTCCCTCCACTCAAGCACACATCCGTCCGTCCGTCCGTCCGTCCATCCATCCATCCATCCATTCACCTGTCCAACCGAGCATCTATCTATTCATCCATCTACCCGTCCACCTATCCATCCATCCACTCATTCATCCATCCACCTATCCATCCATCCACCCGCCTACCTACCCACCCATTCATCCACCCACCCACCCATCTATCCATCCATCCACCTGTCCATCCAAGCATCCGCCTGTCCATCCATCCATCCACCAATTCATCCATCCATCCCTCCATCCATCCATCCATCCACCCACCTACCTATTCATCCACCCACTCACCTATCCATCCATCCACCCACCCATCAGTTTGTCCATCCATCCATTCCATGTACTGTAATCTTTTTTGTACCTTAATGGAAAAGCACAAAGTTTGTAAAAACCCAAGATATAGACAATATTTTGATGTTTCAAAGGGTAATGATGTCACACTAAAAAAATGATAGGCTTATATTAGATATCAGAAAATGCTCCCTGTGAGGGTGGTGAGGCCCTGGCACAGCTGCTCAGAGAAGCTGTGGATGCCCCATCCTTCACAGTGCTCAAGGCCAGGTTGGATGGAACTTTGGACAGCCAACTCTGGGAAGCGTCTCTGCCCATGGCAGGGGTTGGGGCTGGATGGGTTTCAGTGTCTTTTCCAACCCAGTCTGTGATTCTGTGATTCTGTGGTTCTGTGGTTCAGTGGTTCTGTGGTTCTGTGATTCTATGTGCATGCTCCCATCCCCAGCCCCTTCCCACGTGGGGATGTTGGCTCCTCATGCTATGCTATAGGGAAGGACATGTGAGAAGCGTGTGTTGATGGCCAGCAGTATTTCCTGCAGTGGTAATCAGTGCAGCTGCCCAGCAGGAGACCAGCACCATGTCCCAGTGCAGGATTGGTCCCACCAACACTAGGACCTTCATGAAGACCCCCTGGTCTGTTGGGGTACATGTGTGGCCAGGCTGGCACCAGTTCTGGGTCTGCTGGTCCTACCACACTCTCTTCTTACACCACTTGCACCAAGGGAAGAGGCTCCCAGCACGCAGCCCCAGGCTGCAGCTGGCCTGACAAAGCAGATTTGATCTTGCTGGCCTGGCGTTTCGCAACAGAAGGACATTTTCCAGAGAAAGTCCCCAGTGGCCCCAGACCCCTCCAGTGGCAGCTGGCGCCGGCACAGAGCTCGAATGGAAGGACGTGCAGGAAGGTCAGGGTCTGAGTCCAATTTCCCTGCTCCCATGTTCAATTGCAAAGATCTGCCGAGAGGGTTATTTTTGCTACAAAAAGAAAAAAAAAGAAAGAAAGAAAGAAAGAAAGAAAAGAAAAGAAAAAGAAAAAAATGCAGCTGTGGATCTTAATCCACTGTGCTGCGCACGGAGCCCCGAGGCCTCCATCCAAAGGGTAACGTGGCAGTGACTTTGAGGAAGTACTGAATGTACCAGATGTGTGGCTCCTCCAGTGCCAGATGTGCGCCTCCCCCGCCCCAGCCCTGCGCCGAGGAACAAGCGGTGCCGAATCACCCTGAAAGCATCCCGCAGACTAAACCTCGCCAAGCGTGAAACCGGAGCGGCTCTGGATTCCCACAGCCATGTTCATGTGGTTCTGAGCAGGGATGTCCCTTCCCAGAACACGCACTGGCGCCTGATCCGCACGCAGGGAGCTGGGTGACATGGGGTGAGCCGTGCCCTGTGCCCAGCCTCAGCCTGCTACTGATGTGCAAGGCGCATGCTGCTTCTATAAGGAGCTGCTTTGATTCCGAAAGGGAATGCTGGGCTGTGCGTGCTTGAAATGCTCCCCGAGCACTGCATTCTGCCTCCCTGCAGGCAGCGTCTCAACAGCAATGTTTGCTTCTGGAAGAGATCCTTTGTCTGAATGCATGTGTGTCTGCAGCAGAGAGCAGGCCAGGACCAGGAAAGGGGATTTATGCTGCTTGGTTCTGGAGCTTGGTTGCATTCTGCCCCTCTCAATGAGCCCTGGGGTGCCCTGGGGTGGTGCAGCCATCACGGTACAGAGAGCTGGGCTGGGAGGGTGGAGCAGCATCACCCTGAACCCAGGGTTGCAGCCGCTGCTGGCATCAATCCAGGATGGCAATCCAACAGGATTTTCCCAGGCAAAGGGAAGTGGGGCAGCTCCAAGAGGAAAAATTTGCCCCAAATTTTTCCCTCAGTGGGTTGTTTGAAGTGGTCCTTCTGGGAAGAGTTGTTCTGGGGGGGAGAAGAAACAGACAGCCAGATGCTGTTCCTGCTGTAGGCAGTGCTGTGTCCTTCTGGAGATGTCTGCATGTGCAGCTCAGCACACAGCTCTGCTCCTGCCTCCCACATGGGAGTGCTGTGTTGTAAAAAGGCAGTTAAAAAGGCAGCACTTAGAAACTGAAAATCTTGAGAAACTGAAAAACTTGAGAAACTGAAAACCCTGCTTAAAACCAGTTTCCAGTTACACACAAATGTTGCTTCTTCTCTTGCCTTGAGTAGATTTCTATTATCTGTATGAAGTGCTATGATCTCAAGGTGTGCAGGATGGCGCGGCACATCTCCAAACACAACTGGAGCAGTGCAGGCTGTGCCACACTGAGCACAAAACCTATCCCCTTGTGCCTCCGCTCACCATTTACCAGCCCAAACAACATGTGACAAACGATGCAAAAGATGTGCTGTGGACAGCAGGGAGGTGCTCTACATGGGG